CAGTATCTTAGTATATGGCTTTCAATCCTCTTCATTCAAAGATTTTACAGTGGAAAAAATCCTGAGTTTGCATCAAAAATATTTAGTGCTGTTTAAAGCATTTACATCTCATTGTACATTCTAGAGACCAACTTTCCATCAACCCAGAATTAAATTATTTTTAAAAATTGTCACTTTGTTATAGAGAGACAAGGTGGTGAGACAATATCTTTTATTGGACCAGCTTTCCAGCCACACACAGCTCTTCTTCAGGTGTAAGAAATGAACTGAGAGTGTCACAGCTAAATACAAAGTGGAACGGACTGTTTAGCATCATAGGTGGTGAGTTATATAGGCCTGTGGTGCCTGTGCACTACCAATATTCAGGAACGTGGGCCCGGCTCCACCAATGTTTGGGCTTATATTTTCAGAGCCGTCACACCCATAAGACGGACCGGGGCAACTGCCCCGGGCCCTGCGCTTTGGGGGGGCCTGGCGCTTCAGGGGGATGTGGTGTCCAGGGCAGCCTGGAGGGTTAGCAGGGGGCCTGGCGCCGGCAGCAGCAAGTGACCTGGCCCCAGGCTGCCTGGGGGATTAGCGGGGGGCGTGGTTCCGGCAGCAGCAAGCGACCTGGCCCCGCCCGCCCTGCTCCGCCCCCACTCCACCTCTTCCCCCAAGCCCCTGCCCCACCCCACCCCCATTCCACCCCTTTCCCCAACTAGTGGTGTGTGGTCAGAGAGGATTTTATTTCTATATTGAAGCAGGTTCTCTCAGGGTATTTGGGTGGCACATTTCATGATGTGATCTACTTCTCCGGTGGAGTGTCCTTCTTTGGTGAAGGTGGTTTTAGCTGTGTTAAGGTTTATATCCAGACTGTCTCCTTGGAGTATATTCTGTGGTATCTGAGTGCCTGGCTGTAGGCAGCAGATTTCTTGGTGTGTTTGGGGTGGTTGCTGGATCTATGAAGGTAGGTGTGGGGATCTGTGGGTTTTTTGTATATAATTGTCTGTAGGATTCCATTGTTGATGCTAATGTCAGAGTGTTCTAGACCAGGGGTCGGCAACCTTTCAGAAGTGGTGTGCCGAGTCTTCATTTATTCACTCTAATTTAAGGTTTCGCGTGCCAGTAATACATTTTAACGTTTTTAGAAGGTCTCTTTCTATAAGTCTATAAATATATAACTAAATTATTGTTGTATGTAAAGTAAATAAGGTTTTTAAAATATTTAAGGAGCTTCATTTAAAATTAAATTAAAATGCAGAGCCCCCGGACCGGTGGCCAGGACGCGAGCAGTGTGAGTGCCACTGAAAAATCAGCTTGTGTGCCGCCTTTGGCACGTGTGCCATAGATTGCCTATGTTCTAGTCACTGCTTAATTTGTGCTGGGGCTCTAGGCTTGGCAGTTCATAGCCCTGGCACCTGCTCCTGACCAGCAGCTGCCATTCTCCAGCCACCAAGCTCTGAAGGCAGCATCGCCGCCAGCAGCAGCACAGAAATAAGGGTGCCATACCACCCTTATCCGTTCTGCAAGTTCTTTCTTGTGCATAAGAGATTCAGCAGTCCAACACTCTGTCTCCACTCACATCACTCAGCTGCCAGAGGAACATCCCTGGGGTGTTGTGCTGCTGCTTGCATGACACACTAGTATCAACCCTTCACACAGTGACCATCAGTTTTGGGGAATGAGAATGGTTGTATTTCGTGTGTTCTCTCTGATTCAGTCAAAAAAATATTTGGCTTTATGTGCTAGTCCATGTGGGGAAGGAGAATCATCGATTGCACTCCCTCCTGTGAAAACAGGAGTTAAAGGGGCAGTGGCCTTGTCCCCTAGCTTCTGAAGACACCATCTGGGAGGGCAGTTCATTCACCAAAGAAGCCAGAGGGAGTGGGGTAACAAGCCACCAGTCTTTTCTCCTAGGGACGTAACACTAGGCAAGGTTGATGGATGATTGTGTAAGGACGTGTGGTCTGGCGGGGTCCTCCAAAGATTTGGTTAACTTGGCTAAGCATCAGACCCATAACTTTTCCTCGTTTTCCCCATCACTGGATTTATATGGAATTTGGCTGTGCTGAGTTTCCTTTTACCTATAATTTGGTTATGTAACGGCTGGTTTGTAGTGTTCCTTTACATATAGTTTAGCTATGTAGAAACTGGTTTGGAGTAAGCCAAACTACATGCAGTAGTGATGTTAATGCTGAGATTTACATGTGTTTTTATTTTCTTATCCTTGTAAACATAGTGTGCAGCAGATCATAAGATTCAGCACTCTTTTGGGTACAGTGGTAGGAAAAAGGAAACTTCTCATGGTGTAAATAGGCTGACTTATCTACTGCTATACTATAAAAAAAATCTAACAGTCAGCCTCAGACTTTCTTTCTTCATTCAGACTGCCCATAATTTCTCCATTGGCAAGTCCAAGGCTTGGTACAGATTTTCCATGCCATGTCCAGAGGCAGAACCAGAATGCTTACCATCCTAGTCACTCCCATCCCAACAAACTCCTGTGGGGATCCATTTCTGGATATGTCAGGTATATGTGTGACTTTCTGTGTATTGTTTTATCCCTTCCTCTCTTTGGTCTGTAAGACAAAATTGCCAAATATGGTTGCTGTCGTGCTTTGGCTAGCAATTTCGAGTGCACAAAACCTCAGAGTTTCAGGTTAGAAGTGAATTTTGCAAGCTAATTTTCAAAACATTTTGCAAAGCTCAATTTCATGGAAAGCAAAATGTTGAGGACCTAAAAACCATGTAGCATAGCTATGTAGAAGCTGGTTTGGAGTAAGCAAAACTACATGCAGTAGTGATGTTAATGCTGAGATTTACACGTGTTTTTATTTTCTTATCCTTATAAACATAGTGTGCAGCAGATCATAAGATTCAGCACTCTTTAGGGTACAGTGGTAGGAAAGAAGAAACTGCTCATGGTGCAAACTGAGGCTAGGGACATCATCCCTGCCCATCCTGGCTAATAGCCATTGATGGATCTATCCTCCATGAACTTATCTAGTTCTTTTTTTGAACACTGTTATAGTCTTGGCCTTTATACCATCCTCTGGCAAAGAGTTCCACAGGTTGACATTGCGTTGTGTGAAGAAATACTTCCTTGTATTGGTTTCAGACCTGCTGCCTATTAATTTCATTTGGTGACCCCTGGTTCTTGTGTTATAAGAAGGCGTAAATAACACTTCCTTATTTACTTTCTCCACACCAGTCATGATTTTATAGACCTCTATCATATCCATCTTAATCATCTCTTTTCCAAGCTGAAAAGTCCCCGTCTTATTAATCTCTCCTCATAGTGTTCTTTTCTTTACCTTTCCCAATTCCAATATATCTTTTTTGAGATGGGGCAACCAGATCTGCATGCAGTATTCAAGATGTAGGTGTACCATGGATTTATATAGATGTGGAAAAAGCCTAAGTTGACAATTTATTTCCAGCAGCAAATTATACTATCAACAATGAAATAAACCATGTGGTGATTATGTATTTCCTAGGTGATAGAGAGGAAAACACTTGAGATCCAAGGTGAATATTGGCTCTTCTTACACCAAATGAGGTTCATAGTGATGCATTTACCCTTTGGCTGACTTTAGCCACTCAGTAGCTAGGAATAGTTTCACATGTATAGCCAGAGTAATTTTAACTGATAACCGTGTAACTTCTTGAAATCATATAGTAGCTAATGTTACAGATCATCTTACATGAAAATTTGGTGGGGGGAAAACATAATTCATGGCTATGGGAATTCACTGGGCTTTTCCCTGCACCATTGAAATCAATGGAATTTTTCCCCCATTAACTTCAATGGGAGCATGATAGACACCTAAAGCTAGTATATTTGTTGTGCTATGTGTGTGTTATGCACAAAACTGGCTTCTAATGGATCAGTGAGGAGCATAACAGTGCAAAGTTCAGGTCCAGATCCAAACTTCACCAAAGTTTGGGTGTTGGGGATATTAAACTCTGGGGTTTTGGTTTAGCTCATCACAGAGGCAGAGCCTAGCTGTGAACTTTGAATCCAGATCTGAACTACTCCAGAGTTCAGTGGCATTTAGATTCAGGATTTTGGTTCAGGCCATTCTCTACAATGAAGAAAAGCATCTTGATTAGGGCACTGTCTTCACATGTAGCCACATACACCATTCTTCTAAATCATAGACTCGTGCCTCCCCATACTGGGGGGGCACAATCTAAAGGGGAAGACACATGACCGCCCCACATATCTCCTCTGCCCAGTGACAGCCCCCCTCCCCCTTTGCCCTGTGCCCAGCCTGGGGCTGCCATGCTCTCCCCACCTCATGTTACCTGGGGGTGGGAGGGGGGACTCTGTCCTTCTCTCCCTGCACTTCCCCCTCCCCCTGGCATGTTCAGCTGGTCTCCCTGGCAACCGGGCAGGGAGCAGGATGGAGCCGCTTCTGCCTGAGAGAGCCTGACTGGGAGGCAATGGCAGCCCACTCCCTGCCTGGGCTCTACTACCATTGACCGGGGCTGAGCGAGCCAGAGCCTTCCCTCCCCCTGGCATGCTCGGCTGCTGTCCCTGGCAGCCAAGCATGGGCAGGGAGCGGGCCGCCACTGCCTCCCAGTCAGGCAGAAGCAGCTCTGTCCCTCTCCCCACGCAGCTGCCAGAGAGAATGGCGGAACATGCCGGGAGGAGGCACAGGGAGAGAAAGACAGAGCCCCTCTCTCTCCCTGCCCCCAGCAGGCCAATCGGGGGGGGGCACTTGACTTTGCATGCCCCCCTACACTTCAACTCTGTTCTAAATGCATGTCAAGTGCCGTATGATGCCATTCCCAACACCAGCCATGTGGAGAATAAAACACATTAGGACAAAGATGGTATTGCAACCCAGAGAAGACTTCAAAAAAAAAAAAAAAATAGACCTGCTGTTTGTTTGGAGTTTATCTCTTCACTTAAGAATTTCCATAAGCCCATGATAACATCAGCCTAATAACTTAAATTTTTATTAAATAAAGAATAAGAAAATGTCATCATCTTATAGAAGAGAGTTTCAAAAACTCTACCTAGAATCACTTGTTTCTACCAACCTATTGTTCATGATAGCTAGTGCACCAATGCCTGCAGAGAAGCCATTTTGTCTGCTGTTCATACTGACGTTTCTAGGGTACCCATTGGCCATCTCGGACAGCTGCTTTTGCAAAATGGCCAGGGAGACTTTGTTTGATGCTGTGAGCTCCTTCATTGAAATCATTTCACCAGAAAGCCTCCTCCCCTCTGTGTCACTGTCATACTGTCCATCGGTTTCCACAGAGATGTTATGCCTACGGAAGCGGCTTCCTGGGGTGATGGCATTGCGACGACCAAGGCGGGCACTTGATTTATGGCACTTTGAGCAACACCTGCATCCAAACTTTTTCAACAGCCAGTTTAAAACTTGCTTGATTACAATTGATATGACATTAAAAAGGGAGTATATGCAAGATACACCCATTAATATAAACATGAAGTTTCCAAATCTGTATAATCTCTGATTTTGGTACACTGCATTTTGACTGCTTACCAAATCTCCAAAGCCAATGGTGCTGAAGGTGACAAAACAATAGTATAAGGAGTCAATGTAGTTCCATCCTTCCACTGCTGTGTACATTGCTGAGGCACAGCAAGCCAGTGTAACGGCAAAAATTCCCAGAATCAGCATCACGTGATAAACTGATGGTTTCCATCCAGCAAGGCTGTCCACTTCAGAGATAGCTGATCCCCTTCGAAAGTTAGGGGGTAGAAGACCACTTCTTCGCAGCTGCCGCTCACGACAAGCCTTCATGATAAAAGCCAGGAGAGAGATAATACGCTCCAGGAACAGGTTGAAGAAAAGGATAGTCCCAGCACACCCGAATAGGCCATAAATTATGAGGAACACTTTTCCAGCCACTGTTGCAGGTGTGGTCATTCCAAAACCTGCCGAGGCACAGATAATGTAATTATAATCATGACATAGCTCTTCCTGCATATACTCCTAGTATATCGTATCCCACCACATCCCCTTTCACTTTGACAATTGGCTTTGAATATGTTTAACCAGCTAGTGAAATCGTGCTGTGTATAACTCAATTTGGACCAGCCTGAATTAGAGTGAATTATTTCTCAGGAGATGAGGAAGATTCCAGAATGCTGGATAAGGTGAGCAGGATTCAAGAGGGAGCAAAAAAGTCTGTAGGAAATGAAGTGTAAGTTATTAACAGAGAAGAGCTATTTTGTTTGGAGGAGCTGTATTAGCAGCTCTGCAAAATCGGAATTCATAAGCTCAAATCACTTGGTAACGATGTTAAATTAATACACCACATCTTTGCTTCTGTTCATTCAAGCCAGCATGAACCTCTGGAAAGTTTAGTTCTCTATATCCAAGGTACTAGTTGCTTAACTGCTGTAAATCATTGTAGCCCCACTCATGTTAAGGTCTCACTATGATTATACCAACTCCTGCTAACAGATGACAGATTTCAATGTGTACAATAGTAAAGGAATTTGAACCTTGATTATCTTTTAAATGTAACAGCACTTCATTCAAAGCCTTCTATTCAAATACAGAAACAGACTGACTGTCCCGAAAGTATCATC